ATGACATGTAGTGATGGAGATGATACCTCCTTTTCCTTGTCTCCTCAAATGTACCTTCACCACCTTTTTATGTTTTTGTCTTTAGCTCTTTTGTGGGTATAAAAGAGAGCCTTGTGCTTCTCTTTTGAGGAGGATCTCCTAGACATGTTAGTTCCATTTTGTACTCCAAAACACTCTCAAGCTTTTAAGTTTTTATTTAATTATTGTCTTCATCTTTTGTCTTTTATTTATTTACTTTTATTGTCATTTATTTTCCGTCTTTACTTTCTGTCATTTATTTTCAATCATTTACATTCATGTCTTTACTTTATGTCATTTATTTACGTTATTTACTTTCCGTAATGAGTAGCTAATTCCATTAGCTCAGGTGTAGGGTAAAGGGTGAAATGTTAAACCGAATGAAAGTGGACGTTGTTTCGCAATAACAATGTTCCACTATTTCATTCAAGTTTTATAAAACCAAGCACACTTCTTGACGAGTTGATCCTTTGGTGCCATGGACTTAGAGATGAGCCATGATAAGCACGTCAGTTTGAATGATATGAGATATAGACTTGAGAAAGTTGCCGACAAGGAGACTTGTCATTTATGTTTTTCAAACTTAGCTCCCGACGGATTGGTCACTATCTAAAAGTGTCAAAGTGTGATAGATTCAGAGATGAACTATCAAGAACACGCCAACTTGAATGATATGGGAATCGGCTCGAAAGAGTGATTTTTAACAAAGAGATTTGTTTAGCTATATATCTTGAAGACACCATTTTGTTCCTATCCCTGGTCCGAACACCACATAGAGATATGGGTGCAAAACTATAATATAGTGCAAAGGTGAAGTCCGAGAGGAATACCTTCAAGATAGATGGTGGGACTGGTTCTTCCATAGCTTTGTCTGCTGGATTTTGTGTTTACGTTTCACCCTAAATCTTACACTCGTGCTACCTTTATTATTCTGCTTTATTAATCTGTTATATTACCTGTGTTAACTCAGAATCAAATTGAAGTCTTCGTTTTCCTCATCTGAAATCTTTTCTTTTATTGGACTCTTATTTAACTTTTGCTCCAATCCCTGTGGACGATATTTCGATACTTGTACCACTTTATTACTTGGAAAGACGACGTTGGGCCGTATTGTATACTTGCTTTGTGGCCCAATTTCATTAAGTCTAAAGGTAAAGTATTTGACCGACCAGATAGTGTAATAACCAGATCTTGGTTATTACCCAAGGTAATTTATACGTGAATATTTGACTAAATGATTTCGTGATAGCATGATAAACTGATATGTTTATTATATGTTGAGATGTGAAAATGTGCAATATTTAGATATGAATATATATATATATATAT